CATATATATATATATATATATATATATACACACACACACACACACACACACATATGTGTGTGTGTGTGCGTGCGCATAATTATTTATTCAAAAATTATAACATAAAAATGTTATAAAATCTCTACAAAAATAGCCATTTTGTTTCAACACTTCTGGTGTCTTATCAAATGATGGTGTTGAATGTAGATTAAAGGGTTTTAAAAGATTCAAATCATTCAAACACCCCTCGCTAGGGGAAATGCTGTTGCATAAGCTGGAATGACCAATCAAAATACAAGTATATGAGAATTCAAAAAACTTGACAACAAACTTTGGTTATTTAATACCTTAATGTTAGTGTTAGACTAAAATAAAATACATATATACACACATTTTATATATTTTTATATATATATATATATATACACACACACACGTATATAAATATATATATATATATATATATATATATATATATATACACACAAAATATATATATATATATATATATATATTACAATGAATCATTCGTACAAAAAGATTAGTAAAGTTAATGATATAAAATGGCGAAAACTCTTTGCAAACAATTTTAAAGTTGCATTAACCTATGAAGCACTCGAATGTTATGATCCTTGTTTTTAATAACTACAAGCTGTATAAGGTCTTTTTTTAATATATATATATATATATATATAAGAGAAAATAGATTTCATTATGCATTTCGCCATTCAAGAAATTTGAATCTGAAGAAGCCTTGAATGGTGGAATGTGTAATCAAATCTTTTTTTCAATGAAACATTTTCCATTTGTCAAATTTCTTTAAAACTGTCAGGATTCTGTATCCTATTTTAAAAACATACATCTGATTGTTAGTATTTAAATCTTCAATGTTTCAGCTTCCAGCTTCTAAAATTATTTTCTCTACCTCACTTATCCACCAAATTAAAATAGTAAATTAGTAAATATTGGTTAGACTCAATTTTTTTAATTTTTTTTTTTTACACTAACTCGTGCTCTAAATATAAGTGGATTGTGTGCTCTTTGCAAAGAACAAATATTGCATAGGCATCATATACAACAATTTTGATATCCAATCATTTATATTCTTCAATAATAGATGTAGTTGTGAGTTTGTTTTCATGTTTTCTCTTTATTTTACAGCAACATCTACCTCCATGACAAATATCCCCACCAATTTCTAATTTTCTAGAGTGGGTCTATTAAAATTGATCTTTGTTTTTAGGTAATGAATGTTAACTGCAGATACATCTGAAGATGTGTTTATCACTCAGATATGGTGAAAATAATTTTCATGAGAAAAAAGAAAAAAAAAAGCATCAATGTAAATTTTGTTCACTGGTAAAGAAACATAAAACTGAGAATATATGTTAAAAAAAGGATTTATATTTACTTTCCTTTGCAATGGCCATTTCTTCTGAGTATTTTAAAAAATAAATAAAATACCATGAAAATTTTCAAGCGCAAATTTTAATTTCTTTTTAGAATATTAAATTATCTGAATAATTTTAAAATGAAATTCAATTAATATTTTGATTTCATTTTTTTTTTCTCAGGCTTCATATGTATATTTTTAATTTAATATTCTGATGACCTTAAATATTTTTGCTTGTAATTAAAGTAGTTTCTTTGGATTTATTTATTTTTTGTTTATAGAATAGTAAGCTGTTTTTATAAAAGATTGGTATTTGGTTTTGATACACATGATTTTTAAAAAAAAATGGCTTACTTTTTTTGATAAAGAATTAGATAATTAAATCACTCAATTCATTTTGTATTCTTTTTTTTTTTTTTTTAACATGCTGAAAATCTCTTCATGATTTAAATGCAACAACTTGAATGGTTATAGAAGTTTTCCAGAAGCACATCTCTTCACTCTTTTTTTTTTTTTTTTAAAAACATGAAGATTAGAATTGTAATAAAACCTAAAAAAGGAAAATCAATTTATACATTTTCTTTGTTCCTGAGAATTGACAACAAAAATAATAAACACTTTATTAGATTGTTTGTTTATTTACACTATTTATTATATTTATTGGAATGGTTGGTAAAACAATGGCTTATTGCCAATTGATTCAAACTGGTAAATAAAGATTTCCTTAGTTCACACATTTTAATTTAGATGTTTATTAATTTCTTTATAAGTTGGTAAATGATACATTAGTTCTAATTGTACTAGTTTTTAGAATGTAAATATAAAATTCTTGTAAATAAACAATCTAATAGTATTTTTCTTTTAAATTGTCAAGAACAAAAAAATGTATAAATTCACTTTCATTGTGTGCTTAGGTTTTATTACAATTCTAATCATCACTTTTTAAAATCATAAACATTGCTGAGGTAAGTAATAGCTTTGTCATTTTGACACTGTCTTATTGTGGGCACATTTGTCCATATTTACCAGAAAATTTTTACTATATTGGTAAAAACAAATATTTGTTTAAAGAGAGTTCACTGCTATCAAAAAATTGCACTTAACTGGCACATAGGTTAATTAACAAAAACAAAGTGAGATATATTAGTCTGTTTGGTAAAGAACACTAGATGCATTTGACTGGATAGTTTCAAAAGAATCCCTCCTCTTTATTATTTTCATGCAACAAAATAGTTTACATCCTTCAAATATTCATTATTTCTATTGTTTCCTAAAGTATATTTATGACTTTTTTTCCCTTCCTATTAGTAAGGGAGGTAATAATTTGAAAACTTGTATAAAAGCCATATTTTGGCAAAATGCCAAGATACATCGATAAATACAAATGTCACTGACATATTTTTTCAAGTTTACTCCTAGAGGCCGTAGCCCAACATATCATACTGATTTTGGAAACGGGCTGACTCCGTGAGCAAATTAAAAACATTCTGTTCCAGATCCAGACCAGCAAACCTGGAATTTGGGATTTTCAAGTATTCATTACTGTAATTGTTTTTGGTGATATTTTTTTTTATGTGATTTCTTGCAACCAAATTTTTTTACAATAATTTTTATAACTTGGAAATAAATTTGAGAATAATTGAAATTAATTGCAAAATCCAGCAAAAGTCACCCAGGAAATAAAAATAATTGTACGTAAAGTAAGGACCTGTCTTTAAATTAAGTAGCAGCAGAATAATTATCATTGAACTTTTAAAAGGTAAGCTTATATATTAATGCAATACTTAAATGCACTGATCAGTTTTGAGTTCTGTAGTTTATTTTTTGCCTATTACATCTACTCCTCCCTACCTATTGTGATGAAAGCCCAATCAAGAGCCCTCTGCAAAAGTGAGCTTAAATGCTGCCAAATAGGATGGCTCTTAAGTTAGTCTATTAATATTTCTAGAAGTACATTTAGTGCGATACATATTCGTGAGAAAGAAAGAATTTTAAAATATATACACTATGGCCAGTTTAAAAGTAGGTACATTTAGTAAACTTAGCTTGATCTGACACAGGTTGCATATTGGACTTACAAACCATTGCCTGTCAGGCTAGCTAGTTAACCATTTTTATAGTTGGTGTCAAATTGTGTTTGAATGTATTTGTATGTGTGCCTAATGCATATAAATATGTGCAGCAGAATGAGTCCTGCATTTGCCTTGATAAATTCCCTAAGACAATGAAAGCCATCAGCTAAGAATAGTTTTTTTCTGTTTGTCTTTTTATATGTATCACTATATTTGATTTTCTTAACATGGTGGCTGTAGTTGGAATTATATGCTAGTTAATAAATTCTTATTGAAGTTAATTGATATTTATTGTACGAATGTTTTTATTATTAAAGTAAAATGCTGTGTTCAGAAATAATTTTTACATGTCAATATGCTTGGATACAATATATATGCAATCCAAATATAAACTCCATATATGTAATAAACCTGAGTAAAATTCTGTATTTGTCAGAAGCACTGGCACTTCATTCATCAAAGCTTAAATGCTGCCCAATAGAATGGCTTTTAAGCTAGTCTATTAATATTTCTAGAATTACATTTAGGGTGATGCATAATCATGAGAAACAAAGAATTTTAAAATATATACATCATGGCCAGTTTAAAAGTAGGTACATTTAGTAAACTTAGCTTGGCCTGACACAAGGTTGTAATGTTAGTATTGGACTTACAAACCACTGCCTGTCAGGTTAGCTTGCTAACCATTTTATAGTTGGTGTGTAAATTTCATTTGAATTAAAAATTAAAGATATGGCTATAATGAACAAATATATTTGTCTATAGATTTAGTGCATTAGAGAAACAGTGTGCCTCCATTTATTTGTACTGTCTTTGATTAGTGTATGAAAAAAAAAAACCTTCCATATTAAATCCTTTACAATCTGTTTTATAGTAAATTATTTCATGCTTTTCAATACCAAACAGCTTGCGACATTGTTTTTTAAAGAACTCCTTATTGACATGTTAATCACTAAATAGGAGTAGATAGGTTTGCCTATCGTCCGGTTCACACTCCTCCCCAATCTTGAATATGAGTAGGGGTTTATGCCATATCTTCTGTTTAATATTGGGTTTCCAGTTCTCACTAAACTCTTCCTTCTCTTTCACTTCCAGTGGCCCCTTGCATCTTGGTGGCATTATCACCTTGCTTAGAGTGGTACCTCTTACTCTGTAACCGTCTACCTCGAGTGGCTTGTAGGCCTTGTACATCATTGTAAAAAAAACACACATACACAATTGTTAAACTTGAGATATTATTACTGACCAGCAGTAGACAATATATGCAGTACATGGATTAGTCTGTAACCAAATGATGGCTATAGACTAAAGCTAAAAACTTATATTAAAAAATATTAGGTGGGTATAAAATAATTTCCTTTATCAATGGATTTTAACTCATGGAAAATTTCAACACAAAATTCAGCTAGTAACTGTCAGTAAATTATATGTGATACATTCCTGCAATTCTTGGGGCAAGCCTTTTGAAATTGCCATTGTTTTTTTTTTTATCGAAGGATAACAAAATATTTCACAAGTAAATGAATTATCAGGTGAGTTTATAGGTAAGAAATTGGTCATAACTCAATCTGAGGATCTGATCCATGTCCAAATTGCATCTTCATTCTTTCTTCATTCTTTAACTTGGTCTTCTCTGTTCGTGTATGCCAAACCAAAATCTGAAAGGAAGAAAAAAAAAGGGATTAATATAGAACTTTTTGATACATCAACATATATTTGAGTCATATAGCTTATAGAAATTAATATACTGTGGCTGAGAGCTGCTTGAACATCATTATGCAATTTGCTGAGCTTCACAGCTGAACTCACAAATAGAAATACTATCTTTATTCGTCTGACCTTTCGTAATGTGGATTCGCAGTTTTTAGCTTTTACACCAATTTTTTATTTGCTTGAAAGGATAACTTTATTTTTTTTAATTGCCCTTGAATTATTTCATGGATGTTTTAGTTTCTACTTTAAAAACTGGAACATTTAATATATTTTCATTTCTAAATTTTAAAACCCCCTTACAAGCAGTAAATTTTTTTTTTAAATTCTTATTAATGAAAACAATCTGAATTGTTTAATTTCTATTGGATATTATTTTTTCACTATATTATCTATTTCTATATTATTTTATTTTTCTCTAATGTAGTCTTAAAATTCATTCATAATCAACATATACAGGATGCGATGGATAAATTGTCGCCTAAATTATGCAAAAAATGAAAATAACACTGACATCTCATTTTAACAGATAGATTTACCATAATTAAAACAAAAATATCTTGAAATACTAAAGAGTAAATTTATTCAATATAATTGCCATTGGCTTCAACCTCATTCTCCACACAATTTCCAGAATCTCCTGCAACTCCTCTGGGCAGTCTCCTTGGTTAAGCTGCCATAATCATTGCCTTCATCAGGTATATATCAATACAGGTAACAGGGAATTTCAAACTGAACTCTTTATTTAAATCTACAATGGTAGACTGTTCATGTTCCACTGCCCATTTCTAGGAATATCTCATCATGTTGGGATGAATAGATGGCCAAGGAGTTGATAGAGAGAAGAGTTATGTAGCAAAAGATGTCCCAAGTATTACCTACATACCCACCTGAATGAGCAGGCAAAGCTCTGAATATCTACATCTACATATAATATGGGAAAGAGGGTTTGTGTTCTTATTTCCCAGTGTGGCATTTGTCTTTCATTATGTTACCTTGTGAGCACACAGCATGCCCTTCCTCAGTTTTTGCTGCACACTGACAAGATTGAGAATTGGAATGCAACATGTCTGGCTGGTGGAAAGCTTGGCTGAGGGTTGTGTTACATGCTTAAAGTGCTAGTCCATATGTAAACAATCCAGTCACTTTTGGTGGATTCTCTACTAGAGTAAGTAAAATACCATAGAGTCTGTGTGTAAGTGAATGTAATGAACCCAACAAGAATTGGAACTTGGCTCTCCAATTAAAAATTCCGAGCCATTATCAGTTACAACACCTCCAAACTTACAGCAGTTGATATTCCCAAGCTGTCACTCAGCTAGGTATTGACCAAGCTCAACATTGCTTAACTTTGGTGATTGTATGGGAACCAGTGTTTCAACATGATGTGGCTAGGAGCTGCTAGTTATATAAGTAAGGGTGAGCTACTTGTTTCTGAGTATGCCCATCTGCTAGAGTGGGGTAATCCCTGTTGCTAATGCCTGCTCAGGCATACTTGTGTTTTTTCAACACCCATAAAGCCAAACTGTGGTTTATGCTGAACATATCTTAGTCACAATTTATGGGAGAGAGTGTGTAATATGTCATTAGAAACAGTTTGAACAAGGCCAATATGATCAGAACCTGAGTCATAACATCATGCTAACACAACCAAACAGTTCTGTCAACCCAATTTCATTCACAAAGCTTCAGTCAAATTGTTGTGTGGTTTTCAGGTACTTTCCACAGAGGTATTGTCTTCCAAAGCTGATATCAAGAAGTCACCACCTTTACAAATTGATCATGGTCATATTTGAACCTGGGTCTCATGGTCAGAATACTAATATTCTAATCACTCAGCCACGTACCCACTAAGTTATATAACCTCTTGTATAAGAGAATAGAGAATGAATAACCGTAATAGTTAATAGTATAACTATGGCCTTGCCACTAACAAGAAAATAATGTCTTCTTTCTTGGTTGTTTATTGTGCAGGTGTTCCCAAGCGATAAACATATCATTTATATCAGTAGGCCCCCTTCCAGGTAAATGGCAAGCTGCACGAATGGCAGTTCTCACTCAAACACAGAATCTGTTGATGAACTCACCATAATACAAGTGGAACAAAAATTTTTGACAGGATTGCCTGTCCTGGCTTTTATTTTAACTCAGATTTTAATGGCAACTGATGATTCCGCCATTTGTGCCTTGATATTGTCCTAATAAAGGGATCATCTGCCTAACTACAACAGCTTCATTATTTTCCCATAACTGGGACCCTATTAGGTACTACCACCCCAGGTCTGGATGAACCTGGGAACAACAGCAGATGTGGTCCCCATACTCCTCAAAACTACCAATCTCGCTAATCAGTGGCCTTGCAGCCAGATGTAGTTTATCCAGGACAAAGTGTATTTGACAAAATAACAAATGGAGATATGTGGTTGGAAAAAGTGAAAGAATTTTTACTTCAGTAATCTACAGGCTCAATTGTTTCCTCATTCTGGAGTAACATATATCAGTCATGGGAGACTGAGAGTTTGTTCAGAGTGTAGGTAATAGTTAAGATAGACATGCAGAAAAAAAATCAAAACATGTTGTGGTCAAGAGTTAATCTCTAATGCCAGATTCATCGCTGGCTGAAGGCATTGCTTTTGATGGAAACACCTTGGTGACACTGCTGATGGCCTGGTTAAACTTGTTACTGTGGGGTCTGTTGCTAATGCCATCCTGGTCAGATCTACCTCTGTGGGTGAAGTCAGCAGCTCAGAACAGCTCTGTGAAAACTGCATGGACTTTTTCTGATTTGTCAGAAAAGATGTTTCATGATCCTGGCGTTTTTGGGCAGTATTATGGAGGTGGATGCATGGAGCTGAATGAAATTAAGATCTGTTTTTGTCATATGAACTGAGAACGTAAATGTGAGCACTTCCATTTCAGTTAAAGTATTGGAGTTTCAACAGGGTACAACAATAGTAATATTTGTTCAGGAATTTATCCAAAGCTAGATAACAACTAAGGGAAATAACTGTGATCTCAACTGAAAACAAACAGGCTTCAAATAGAAAAATGTTGGAAATTTGAAACAAATTAAAAGTAATAAGTTGGCATCAATAACCATGTGAAAAGATTTTGAAAGTCATATTTATTCATTTTGTTTTAATAGTTCGATTGTTGTTACTGAGTTTCAGTAGGTAGGGATTAAATGTTAAATAATGCTTCTTGCAAACAACATTTTTTATTGGGACTGTCAGAGCATATCCAGTTGACACTTAACAAAATATAATTGTCACCTGAAGCTGTTGAGTAAGAAGTGACGCAAAGCTTTTGAATTCAAGCAACACTGTTCATTTGTTGGTCAGCAAGCAACTGATATACAGTAACATTGCTATAACATTCCACTTTTTTTTCACTCTCACATCATGTTTCATTTGGAACATTTTTTTTTTAAAATAAGAGTATGTGAGAATGAGACAAGAGATTGACAAGTCCTCTTCACTCTGTATGGAATATAGGGTCACAGCTTCACCACACTATACAATCACCGAAGTTAAGCAATTTCAAGCCTGGTCAGTGCCTAGATGAATGACCACTTTGATTTGCAGGTGGTGTAATGGATAATGGCTCAGAACTGTTAATTGGACTGCCAAGTTCCAATTCCAGTCAGGCTTGTTATATTTACTTACTCACAAATACTTTTGGGGAATGTATGAATCATCTCTTCTCCCCCATCTATGGGTTAATTAGCAATAAAATGATTATTATCTCTAAAAGATTCTTACAATCTCAAAATATTTTCTGGCTTTAAAATAACTTGTGAAATGTTGATAAGCTGTAAAAAAAAAACAAAACAGATCAATCAGTCTAAAGTGCTTTTGTAAGGCTTGTTTTAAGATAAACTCAAACTTTTTCCTGAATAGGCCCTGTTGAAATGAGGGTGTACTATTGCCATGTATCAAATACCTCACTTAGAAACTCTACAGGTGACAAAACAATGTATGTGAAGAAGAAAACTTTTAAAGTTCAAAGGATGTGAATGTGAGTGAATGTGCATATGTACATGTGTTGTGTTTGTGTGGTTTGTTCATGAGTTTCCCAATGGGAAATGCATTTTCCCACAAGAGACTTACATGTTGCTGCGTAAGATGAAAAACTAAGAAGAGGCTACAAAAAATAATCGTAGAGTATTTATAGTGCCGGAAAGCATCTCCTAATAGTGATTTCAGGAAAGTAAGTAGAGTTAACCTCACAATACTCCCCTTCAGGTGGGTAAAATATTTTCTACCCATACGTAGAATTTGTGTAGGTTTGTTTCTGTCCTCATGAGTTGAAAAGAAAAGGTGTCGGAAGTGTGGTTGAAATGTGTGTTTAAACACGTCAACGAAAATGTACTGTCATCAGGGTGCTGTATTATTTTCTCTAGCAGGTCAGAGTTGTATTATGTCCAGGAAGATACATTGATAGTGTAAATTGTTCAGTGTTTGCTATTAAAATTTTGTCTTTTTCCAATACTCCATGTTGAATTGGTTTGTCATCATATTGGTTCCTGTTCATTGGAAGGGTTTTTTTTTGGAAAGGCCTTGTTTGTTTGCTATGTGTGGATGATGTAGTGCACAAAATTTAATAGAAGCAGCATTGTGGCAAAGTTGAGCTGATGGAGGATTTATACTGTGTGTTGAATACATGTTCAAGAACTTTAAGAAATTTGCTATTATTGTCAATTTTTATATTGTACTTTCAAATTCTTAGTGTTGTTCAAATGATATCATTGAAGAGTGAAAAAAAAGGACAGTGGGTCAACTTTTGAGGTATGTCACACTTTATCTGATTAGCCCAGAAGAAACAGTGTTGATTAAAGCTGAAATGAAGTTGTATTTTCATTTTGTCTGAAAAAAAAGAATTTTCAAGATGTTTGTTGGTTGAGGTCAAGTCAAGCATAATGGTGCCTGAGAGAAGAAAAGGGATCAAGCAAAAAGACAATAGGGACGATTAGCGTGTTGTTTGCCTACTGACAGACCAATGTAGCAGTAATTGAAAGGTGATTAGTGATTTTGGGGGGGATTCACACATGTTGCAAAAAAAAAAACCCTATTTGATGAATCGGAGAACATCATGTGCTGTGTAGATATGTTGTAGTGTTTGAAATTTGTGATTTTGCTCTTTCATAGGGTCTAATCATAAATTTTGTAGCATGTAAATTGTTTTTGCTATAAGTTTATATAGTATCAATCATGCATAGTAGAGTAGAAAGAGAAGTTTGTTGATGTTTTTCTTCATTGGTTCTCAATTTGAAAAAGGTGTGTAAATGTATATTTTGAGTCTGCACATATATAGCCTTGGATGTTTCTTGTTTTCAGGAGATAAATAAGATCATGTCGGGAGTTACCAACTTGTTGTAGGTGACAGAACAATATATGTGTAAGAAGAAAACATTTAAAGACTAAATAATGTGAAAACATTTAAGGTTCAAAGTGAATGTGACTGAATGTATGTGCATACGCGTGTTGTGTGTGTGTGCTTTGTTCATGTGTTTCCCAGTGGAAAACACGTTTTCCTGCAAGTGACTTACATGTTGACATGTAAGCTGAAAATGTAAGAAGAGGCTATGAAAAATTATTGCAGAGTATTTATAGTGCCAGAGAGCATCCCCTAGTAGCAGTTTCAGGAAAGTAAGTGGAGTTGACCCCACAAAATTAATAATGAAAATTTTTTCATCTTAGAATTCAAATACTTTAGCATAAAAAATTTGTGGATAAAGGTGGTAATATGACTACATTTGAGCTTTTGTGACTGAATTGGTTAAGTTTTTTCCTTGTTAAATGAGCTCTCATTCAGTCAGAAGATATTTAATGTAGAACATTGTATACATTAACTAGGTAGTAGTTAGATGAAAAAAATAGTCAAAAATTATTTAAAAACATCATCTTAAAATTCAAATTACTTAAAACTGTAACCATGCATGTGTTTTATTAAAGAATGCCTCATATTGCAAATATCACTATGGTAGATAGCACCTGGTATTTGCAAATGGTCACCAATCTAGGTACCAGGGTTGCTGGTACTCCAGGAAAGCTGAACTTCAGCATCCTTACAAGTATAATTTATTTTAATTTTCACAAGGAGAAAAACTGAAAATGTAGAATAACAAGCTTATTACAATATACAACTCAGTAAAAGCTAAAGAAAACATTCATTATCCTGCCTAAAACATTGTTTTCTAACCTTTAATTCTTTAAATCTTTTCATGGCACTTTCTACACCTATTTTCTTTACAAGATCATTTTCTATTGACAAGATAGCCAAAGAGTTTAATCTGTCTTGAGTCATAGATGACAGCAAATATTTTTTAATAAGCTTTAGTTTTGAAAGATCCCAAACATATGACATGGTGGCAAGATGGCGTTGTCAGCTTTGGTGTCACCCTGGGTGACAGCCAGAGTTGCCAGTAACTTGAGCTGGCCCTGATCCTTTTTGCTAAATAATAACAGCACACAACCGTTTGGTTATTTTGGTTTGGTTAGTATAATTTTCAACAAGTTTTGCTGTTTTAGGCACATCTGAGGAATTCCAACCCATTTTTCTTTTTAGTAACTCTGCCCCAAATTTGGTGACCTTCTAGCAAAGACTGTGGTCTTAAGTTTACCCCACAAATTTTTTATTGGATTTTTTAAATCAGGGTTTTATGCAGCTCAGTCAATAACATTCACATTGTGACAGACATGTTAGTTCTCTAGAGGATGCGGGATGCTTTTTGTATTTTGGGGGGAATATTTTGTAAGTGTTATATATAGTGTTATATAGTTGCCAGTACCTTGAGCTGACCCTGCTAGGTACTGACCAGTCTTGACATTGCTTAACTTTGGTGATTGTACAAAAACTGGTGTTTCAACAAAATCACTTTAGTTATTGCAGAAAATGTTACTGTATAAAAAAAGTAATAGAGATGAATATAAAGCAACAAAACACAACTATTAAAATATCCTACATGATTACAGTAATAAAACATTGCAAGAGAAAGCATAAGAACAGTTGAACATTATACAAAACAGTTTTAGTATTACAGTATTTTCTTTCAGTTATATCTCTTTCTTTTGTAGTTTCCAGCTAGTTAATGATGGGAACATATTGAGGCATATTTAGGTTCAAATAATTAGATGGTACCAATGAATGTCACCTGCACTTTGTTATAATAATTTCTTTTACAATACGGTAAACATGAGGTGGTGGTGACAATAATGTTTGAGTAAATAATATTATTATGGAATCAGATTATGTAGAAGTAACAATCTGAGGTTAAATTATAACCTACAGTAGTGAGCATTAGGGATAAAATTAGCCTAGAGAAAGCCTCACTTTCACATATGGTGAATTTTTGAGCCATTTTTATTTTCTAACAAGGTGGTAAATAGGCCCTTTCCACTCTTCTTACTTTTGACAAACAACTGCTGCCTAAGTGACTAGTTGGACGGACGGTACTTCTCTCACTCACCCTAACTGGCAATCTATTTATGTAAAGCTGCAAGTAGAAACTTCTAACTTCCGATCAAGTGTCACTTGACAAGTTTTCATTTATTTATTTATTTATTATTTTATTTTCTTTCAGTCAAGTAAGTGGCCACTTTGAAGGCCACATCAAGCCAACCTTATCAAAGGTCATAAAACATAAGAGACTTCAGACACAGGTAACATCATTTGGGACCCACATGACATGCATTTTGTAAAGTAATTGGCCATACTGGAATTAGTAAAAATGCCTAACAAACGGAATTGACAAAGTTTCCAATAAACAATAACAAAAGAAAAAAAAGAACAGGCCAAAATAACACCACGTAAACAATATATATATTTAAACAAAAAATTTGTACCACAGAATTTAAATAGGGCTTTGAAAATGACAGAATGCAGTCTTTTAAAGGGATCTTTTTTGTCCAACACGCCTTCAGAAAGATTTGTTGCAACGACAACAGTCAAAACATCGAAACTGAAAAAGCAAACACATTAAAACATTTACAGTTTTAAAAGCTGTTTACATCAAGCTTTATTGACTGACTTTGTGTAGGCAGAAAGAGAACTTTCTTCGTTCTCTGTGTCTCATGGGTGGGTTGCGAGTAATTCTTTTTATGCTTTATTCTCACTAGGAGCTTATTTACACTGATTTGTTTGTTTTTACTAACAAATTTATTTTAGTTGTGGCTCCTTATTTATCCAAGACCCCTCCCCCTCCCTGTTGTCTACCTTTTTCAGTTTCACTGTTTTGATTATTGGCATTTCAAAAAATCTTTCTGAAGAAGTGTTGGACAAAAAAGGTCCCTTTAAAAGAATGTGTTCCATCATTTTCAAAGCCATATATATAAGGTGATTGAAAATAACTCCCCATTTTAAAGTACTTACAATTTATTTATTAACTATAATTTTTACAAGAAAAGTTAAAGAGAGGAAAGCATTTAGCATAAAGTTTTACTTAAAATTCGATATGGGCACCTGATTTCACTACCAGCTTCTTGAGCCACCCAGGAATCATGTCAACTGATTTCACAAAGAACCCTTGTGGTATTGTTCCTTTAATCAACCCCAAAGAAAAAAGTCACAGGGTGTTAAGTCAGGATTCCTGGTTGGCCGCTCATTTATAAAATAGGAAGTTATTTTTCAATCACCCTATATATATATATATATAGCAACAGTAATAAGACAAAAACTTCACAAAGTAAGAATGGTGTTAATGTGCAAAAGAGATGCAGTCAAGTGAATGTCGTATTCTGACATCAAGACAATATTGAATTCTAAACACCATCCATAATAGATCATTCCAGGAATCATCCTTGGCTATTGGTTAGTAAATTAATCATCTTATAAAATCTATGGTACACATAGAAGAGAAAAAACATTCAAAACTGACCTTTGTACAAAGTTCAGCTTTGGGTTCAAGATCAGTCATTTTCACTTGAAGTCCCTGAAGGAGTACAGATTCTTGATAGCCACGAGGAACATTATAATCAAATTTAGCTTCTTTAAACTCAAAAAATCTGTGTAAATTAACAGCAAATCCTGCCATGTCCATTGCAAATGGTCGCCTTGGTTTCCAATATGTAAACCACTGAGTTACCTGTGGATTTAAATTAAAACATTATATAAATAATTTACTTTAGCAAATAATGTTTTCTTAGGGAGGGGAGTTAATTTTATTTTGCTCATCCGAGTTCATAGGAACCTAAAAAAATATTCACATATTTGAGGACAGCATTTCGTGAAACAATACCAGCACTGACATCAAATTCGACATCCAAATATTGGACAATTTTTTTGTCCACCTCAACTGTAATTTTGAAGCCTAATTCCTTAAATGTCTTAAAAAAAGCTTCTTTTGAATGGTATCGTTGGCCCTTCTAATATTGGGTAGTAATCAGGCCGTCATCCCTCTATAATCCATGGCTGGCTATATGGACAAATTTATTGATTTTACCCAATATATAAGAAACTTCTGTCCTGTCAAGAGATCCTTGGGGAACATCAAAGCCACTATCACTGTTAAATCAGGTAATTCATTCATTAGTGCCTTGCCAATGATTGACCTGTGTGGCTACCCCCAGCAAATCACAGACATTTTGAATAATAACATGGCTGATAACACCGAGCTCTATCTTTGTTGGGTTAATAAGGCAAAATGAAGGACAACTGCGGAAGTCTTCTTTATGGTTCCTTAACTGTGATAAACACTTCCCTTTCATAAAGTGTATGCATTTTGTTGCCAATGCCCATTTCATTTATAATATCCTTTGCTTCTTTGTTAATAATATCAACATAAAAATTGGGAGCTTTCCTATAAAACTTAGTGACCTCATTTGCAACTTTTCTTTTGTAATGGCCAGTGCTCATTAATTACATATTTTTTTTGTTTTGTCGCTCATGACAAATATCTTCTTTGTATTTTTGATTTCCTTAACTTTCACCTTTAACTCTTTTTGGAAGCTGCATTTAGTATTTCTAAACTGCAAGTTGTCCATAATGCTTAAAAGGTCTCTACATATATACATTTATGTTTTGCCCTTGATTGATCACAGAAGAAGGAGCAATAACCGGTTTATTTATTTATTTTTTTTTTCTATGAGTATTTTATTTTTCTTCTCTTTGCTCTCCATCCCTATTATTTTATTAAATTTGTATATATTTTTTTCTTTTCTTGTATTTCTTGCCTGTGGAACTCTCTTCTGGCTTCTTGCTTTCCAACCAACTTTGATTTTGCAATGTCAATCATTATCCTTGATTCCTCTTCTTTTCTGGTATACACCTCTTAATAATGTTTTCTTTATCTTATTCTTTCACACACAGTAACACCTTGTGCCTTAGTGGCTTTCTTGCCTTGAATGGAGTAAAATGATAATTATATATATATATATATATATATATATATATATATATATATATTCTTATAAATACTTTTAAAATGTTTGTTTTTAAAGCCATAATAAAATTTTGTACTCGCCACAGATTATTTAAATATTTAATTTAAACATTTTAGTTAAATCACCTTGAATAATTTTACAATTTATATTCTTAATTTTCATTCTCAAAGTATCTTTTATCAAACTTTAATTTAAGAATTGTCCTTTGCACATTCATTTTCGATATATATAGTGCATTCTAATTATTCACAATCAAAAACCTTTTAAAGTCTTTATCAAAATATATTCATTTACAATTAGCCACCTCATGTCATGACTAACTTTTCTACATTTGCTTATCATGCTTTAAATTCTCCCTTGTATTTTTCACTTAGTTTATGATGAGCAAGAAACATAACACATAAATGTTGTTTGTCAATGGTTCATTCAATTTTTCTTGTTTTGTTTATTAAAGCAAAATTATTTCTTGCAATTTGATCCTAATGTTTTTTACATTTAGTGATTAATAATAGAAATATCTAGATTCAAGTTCTTTGCAAGAAATTTGTCCTGGTTTTCCCACATGAAAAGGTTGAGTTTAAAAATGCAACAAAATTGAAAAAAAAGCAACAACAGCTTGAAAGGATAATTCTTTCTTTTTAAGCGGAAGAATAAAGACTCAAATTCCTGCTCGGTGTGTAACAATAAAAGAAGAAAATGTTTATTTAAATGCACAAAAAAAAGGGTAAAAGGATATACAATTACGAGAAAAAGAAAGGGAGAAGAAAATTCCGTTAACTTTAAAAGAAGAAAAAATGTTCATAAAAAAAGGCTTGCTCAAAATATTTCTCTGAGCCCCTAAAAAGTTCTTTAAGCGAGTAGATTGTTGAAGGGTTAAAACACTCACAGATTTCTTCAGAGTTCTTATATGGGAAGAAACTGTCACAAGATACGAATTTAGTAGTTGAGTGAGATTGTAGGTTGGTGACTGAAATCTAGTTGCAAGGAGGCAGATCTCAATTGGTTTTTAGTAGTTGGCTGATGTTTTATCTTTACAGCCCAGTGGGTAATTCTTTCTTGAAGCTGACTCTGAAGATGACGGGTTTTCTATCGCCAACCTGATGTTATTACAGATGGTATCCAGTGACTCAATGCCAAATCGGTGAAGATTCTTCGTATATATGGAGATTAGGAGGCTCAGAAATATCAGGGACTTTTCTCTCCAAAATTGCTATACAAATTTCCTGGCCTTTTCATTATCTCTGATAAGAACCAATGTTTTGGGAGGTGCTTTTTGGAAGCAAAGGTCCGACAAGCTATGAACGTTACTCCCAGACTTTATGGCATCATGGACAGGATAATGGTGGTTAAATTCCTTTTTATATTTTCCAGCTCTCTTGTTTGTCAGAAAATATATTCTTATCTCTGATAAGAATCAAGGCTTTGGAAGCTGGATTTGAAAGAAGAAGAAAAGTTGGAGTGAGGATTGGAAAAGAGGCTAGAACGTGAACTTGTAAAATATTGTAGTAATGGTTCTCAAATTAAATTCCAATACCTTCAACTTTCATTTAGGTTTTATAATATATAATTTTCTTGCTTTGTTTATTAAAGCAAAATTATTTCTTACAATTTAATACTAATGTTTTTAACCATTTAGAGAATAACAGAAATATCTAGATTTAAGGCCTTCAACTTACATTTGGGTTTTATAATATATATTTTTCTTGCTTTGTTTATTAAAGCAAAATTATTTCTTACAATTTGATCCTAATTTTTTTAACATTTAGAGATTAATAATAGAAATATCTAAATTTAAGTCCTTCAACCTTCATTTTCTATTTGGGTTTCATTCACTAGTTTAAAAACAGACACTTAAGTTTTTTTATTTATTAAAAGTTTGCCCCTATTGGTGAGAAGTAATATTTTTTTATTTTAAGAAATTATTTACTTTTAGAATAAATATAATGGAATTTTAATTAAAAAATTTGTATTGCCCCGGCATTGTCCGAAAATCCCAAATTAGTTGTCTCAAACTAATGTGTTCACTTGTCAATGGAATAAGACTAATCTAAAGTCCTAAACAGCAAATCAAAATTAAAAGCCTAGAAAAAGAAAAGATCTTTTTCAGCACTCTGAACATCTCTGCACAAAACTGAAAGGTCCACCCTGAGAGAGTTTGTTTTGAATCATGGATATAAACAAATTTTCACTCCTTTTTTTTGTCACACTGAAATGAGCGTGCTATTATGAGTGAGGTTAAAGGTGACTTTAAATAGCAGAGTAGAGTAGGTTTGGAAACTAAGGGGCAAGATACTAAAAAAAAAAAAAAGGACAAATTGAGGAGAACCTCTATATTTAAAGCCTGTGGAAAGTGCCTGAAAAATGTCACAAGTTCACCCAAGTTTTGTGAGTGAAACTGAGTAGACAAAATAAATCAGAAGCTGTCAATAGTTGTGATATCATAAAGTCACAAGTCATCCAGGCCTTGTACAAGCTGGTGATTATGCCAGGTTGTAATCTCTCCCACAAACTGTAACTAAGTTCTGCTCAGTATAGTTTCAGAATGAGCCATAGGTTGGCTCTGTGGGTGCTGAACAAACTCAAATGTGCCTGAGTAGGTGTCTGCAACAGGGACAAACTAGCACCCTAGAAGACAGGTATATTCAAATTTGAGTAACCAGTCATACAATATTATATATATATATATATATATATATATATATATATATATATATATATATATATGTGTATGTATATATAAGGTATGGTGGAGTGGAGTAATGGATAGTGGCTTTTTGATTGAGGAATCAAAGAGCTGAGTTTCAATTCCAGTCAAGTTCGTTACATTCTCTTATATGCAAATACCCTTGGTTTACAGTATGAATCCATCTCTTCTCTTCCCCCAACTATGGGTAAATAGCAGGGCAGATTCAGTCCTATTCCCCAAGGCCTCCAAGTGTTTTGCAAACTTCTTGACAGATGAAACATGTGATTGAGCCATTTTCCTTAAGTGGTTGAGGATCAATTGCTATGTTTTCCTGTGAATGGAGAGCAAGACCTTCTTTATTGCATGCAACGAACCTACAGTGGCAGGTAAGGCTATTGTTGAGAAGAGCAGCATGATGCCAACTTTCTTTAATATTTGCACACATTTGATCCCAATGTTGAAGTTGGCCTTGCTCTAACTTTTGTATAGATGAGAAGCAAGACAGGCACCAGCTCCTTTGCTCTGACACTTTGTTTTCTCAGGAAGAAAAGGGGGTGCTGCATTGCTTCAGATTGTCTTTGAGTTTGTTTCTGTAATGCAAGAGTGGCCTTCCAACTGACCTGCTTGTTAAAAGCTGGTCATAGATAAGTTATTTTGGAAGTTTACTATCATACAAGAAAGATGTTCTACCCACCTATATATATATATATATATATATATAAAATTTGTCACTTCGCTGATTGATGTTATATTCATCATCCCATCTCTCTCTAGAATTTCATAGATTAACTTCTTTGTAATTGTTCAGTCCACTCTTCAGGCGGTTACATGTTTTAATTTATTTGAACTAGAGAAAACATTATTAATGATTTTAACACATTTTAGATGGTACGCAATACAGTCCTGATCATTTTGACACAAATGTTAAAATCTTGATTATTTTGAAATATGCCAATCAACTAACGCATATGTCAATATGACTGAAAGAGCATTTTTGGATAAACCTTTCTAGACACT